AGCGTGTTAAAAAAGTGTTGCTTTTTCGTTTAGTTTCATCGGGTCGCTTTTTCGTTTCATCGAGTCTCAAATCACTCCCAACGATTCTAAAGAAGTTTCCACTTCAAAAATGACTCCACTCAACATTCCCTATCTCACGCAGAGCATAATTTTGTTTTAGTTTATATATTTTCTATTTATACAGCAAATTAGACGTAGCAACTAGGTATCATCTAATATGTCGATGTAAAAAATTCTAAAACCGCCGCGGCAGTTAGTCTATCATCTTACAAGGTAAAATCACAAAAAATATATTAAATGCCCGAGAGAATCGCGCAACGCTGTTAAAATTTGTTTGCCGAAAAGCTAGCGCGAATATAATTTATTTCAATTTATAACACCGGAGCAGCGCCTCTAGCGGTCTGCCGTCGCCCATAAGCGTAGGTTTTCTATAGTTAACTATAATATTCTTTGACTATAGCGAGCAAGCTGACAGATGGCATTGAGCGAAAGAAAGATCCACTAAGTTACTTATCAGAGTTCCCTTCTACTGAAACATTCAGGCTTAACCCGACAAACAGGGATGAAATTAAAACGGTTATAAAAACCAATAAAAAACAAAACTCCTCAGGAGAAGATGAAATACCTTTGACAAGCTTCAAACATCTACCTGATGAAGCACTCACTGCACTCACTGACTGTATAAATGAATCGTTTGTCTCGGGAATCTTTCCGGACAGTCTTAAACTGGCAGTAGTTATTCCTATTTTTAAAGAGGGAGACAACGAAGATTCATCTGCGTACCGTCCAATATCTTTACTGACTACGCTATCGAAAATTATAGAAAAGATAGTGAAAATAAGACTGGTGAGTTACTTAAAGGCCCATAATGTTCTGACACCCGATCAGTTCGGATTTCAGGAATCAAAGGGGTGCAATGATGCCATATTTACGTTTCTGGAGAGACTCTTTTTTGCTCTCAATGATGGTGAGAAAGCTGCGGCAGTGTTTTGTGACTTTTCAAAAGCTTTTGACTGTGTTAATCACGAAATGTGGAAAATGAGCCACTACGGAGTCAGGGGAACGGAGTTGGGCTGGTTTAGAGCATACCTTTCGGATAGATCCCAGCTAATAAGAATTCATGGTAAGGATAATTCAAAGACACTAAATTTAACCCATGGAGTTCCTCAAGGGTCAAATTTCTTGGTATGCACATAGATTCGAGACTTAAATTTGACACTCATATTGATACTGTCGCGGCTTTGGGTTGCCTGCTGACAAAAATCTTGGGTTCGTTGTTCGTTTCGTTTATTCCAAAAATCAAAGTCCAATTAACACAGCAATAATTTATTCCACTTAACAAAACACTCTTGACACTAATTACTTTATTAACAAACTCAACAATTAAACTCTTTACAATCACTATTTAAATCGTATCACACTCGAACTGAAACTAACTTACAAACCAATGCCGGCCTTCTTATATATCCCTAAATCTATTCCTGTGAAATCTAGAATACACACGATAATCTAATTTTCCAGATTAAAGTAGAATAATTCGCTAGATTCTAGTATTTCCGCGATCGATTCTTGACAGCCTGGCGGACGTTTAGCTTATTGTGACAATACCCTTAATAAAAAACTCTCACAGGGCTGTTATACCGGGTGCCCACTAGATCACTTTCCGGCTGCCATTTTTTAAATTTATTTATCGATATCAACGAAACTTGGTAGAGTTGATATTCTAACCAAACGCCATTTTTATGCATTTATGACAAGTTTTCCCGACTTCCGGTTTCACCGGAAATGACAGCAACTTTTGATTTTTAAATGGCACACCCTGTATATTTTTTGTTTTTCGGATTCAACGGATCGTTTTACATCCTAATGCACCACTTTTGAATCGATTTTTGTCCAAATTTTATTTTTAAATTAAATTTTATGTTTTTAACTAGAGTGCCATGATCATCCTAAAATGACTCTACATACTTTACTTAATTTTAGAAAAATACTTTTTTGATAGAGGGCTGTAAACTCCATTATTTCAGTATTTTTGTCCTAGCTCAAAAAGTAGAATAGAAACATAACACTTTCATAACATTACTAAATACAGTATTTTAAAGCGAATCCAACGATATAATACACTACGACATTTTTCTCAATTTTCGTTCATATACTTATTTTTGTAGGTAATTTTTTTTTTCTACTTAAAATTTAATTTGAAAACGAAATTTGGACAAAACTCGATTTAAAAGTGGTTCATTAGGACGTAAAACGATCTGTATAATCCGATAAACAAAAAATATACAGGGTGTGCCATTTGAAAATCAAAAGTTTCGGTAATTTCCGGTGAAGCCGGAAGTCAGAAAAAGTTGTCATAAATGCATAAAAATGGCGTTTGGTTAGAATATCAACCCTACCAAATTTCGTTGATATCGATGAACAAATAAAAAAATGGCAGCCGGAAAGTAATCTCGTGGGCACCCGGTATAGTGAAAAGCATTCTTCAGGAACTGGGAAAACACACAGCCAAAATAGCGTATCATGCACTTATAGAGTCTCACATCAGATATGGCACATAGCATTCTGGGGTTTTTCGACACAGGCAGCTGTTGAATCAGTGTTTATCTGTCAGAAACGAGCTCTGCGTTATTTGTGTAGGGTAAATCGTCAGGAAAGCTGTAGGCCTCTTTTCAAGCAGGAGCAGATAATCACTACGTTTTCATGGAGTTTTGAAATCGTTTTGAATACGGTTTTGGTATTGAAAACGCCATGAAAACAGGTACTGAAATCGATTTCAGTCTCAAGGTCGTTTCACCTTTTTTTGGGATCGTATCGAGATTTAAATTCAGAAACATGCAATTCAATTTCAATTCTAATTTTACCTCTGCATGAAAACGGGGAAGAGGATTGGATTCAAAACGATTTCAAAACTCCATGAAAACGTAGTATGACTGTTACCTGTATTTTCATCTTGGGAGTGGCCAGTTTAATATTCAAAAAATTTTGAGAATATTCTAGACCAGAACTTTACAACTGGAGAAACTACAATTTGCCATTGCCAATCCTAAAGCTAAGCCTGACCAAGCACTCAATTATATATGAAGGTATAAAAATAAGTACGTAGATGGAATGGTAATCTTGACCGGCCAATTGAATAAGTAGTTTTTATTCTGTTTTCTTGGAAAGAAAACAGAATAAAAACTACTTATGGTATAAAAATATTCAATAATCTTCCTCAGGAAACAAGAAATATTAGAGAGTACAGAGCATTTCGTACTAGTGTGAAAATTTTCCTTATAACAAAAACATTTTTTTTACTACTAACCTGAGAAGTAGTCATTATTCAATCTATTTTTCACGGAAAAAATTGAATTTCTCTCCCTAGGTTAATAATGAAAATAATGAAAAAAAACCTAGGTCAATAATGAAAATGACGTCATGACGCAAGGATATTGTCATAACGTTACAGGTTTCTATTGGTTTAATTTCAATTTCAAACTGTCAATTTAATCAAAAAAACAGGTTCCTGTATGTATCATAGGAAATTGCCATAGATGTTAATAGAGGGCAGCACTTCCAACTAGGAAAAATAATTTGAGCACAGATTTCAAACTTTTTTTTTGTTTTCTACTATAGCAGTAGTAAAAAAAATTCTATATATTCCACGGTAGAGAAAGTTATTATATACCTTACGCATTATATAAAAATATATATAAAAGCGCTCGGTATATAATGACCAACTTCTCTACCTAGGTATATAATGTACTATTACAGCCTTCAAGAATATTACGGCCAAATTTAGTGTGGCTGTTTACTGCGTGTGTTTAATTGTGGGTACTTTTCAAAAACCTAATTGTTTTTGGTTGTTTTATTTGTTGATTTTATTCTGTTTCATTTATTTTTTAAGACATTTTTTAGTATTTTATCACTCTGCTGCTTTCAGCTTTGACCTTTTTAACCTTTTTAACTTTTTAAACTTTTTTATTTTATCTATTTTATTGCAATAGTTACTAAGCCCTAATATATCTTTTAGTGATTTAATTGTTTTTATATTAAAATTGTCATTACCTAGGGGGTTACCGATTTTGCCGATGTTGTTCTATTGATAAAAAAAAACTATCGTTTTATAGTAGATATACTTTTTTATGTAAGTACTTTATAACTGTTTGTTTCTTCTTTTGTGCTTTAAGTATTTTCGTCTCTTTACATATTTAATCGTGACATATAAAAATGTTTTGTGTGTTTAATTTAGGTCTTTTAAAGCTAACTATGTAGCAGACATATTGTTTATATTTAGTTATTATATCATAAGATTGATTTGTCAATGAATTTTTATAATTTACCGACAATAAAGCTTTTTTGAATTGAATTGAAATCCTTAAAACCTGTAATATGACCCGACTGTTTTTAAATCAACACACAGACAAACAATAGGAAGATTTATGCAAGACGAGAACAAGACTAAGAAAAAATAATAACAATAATGCAAAGTTATTTTATTTCAGAAATCATTGAAGACAATTTTTGTATTTAGGCATGACAATAGAATAGAAACATCTACTAGTATTATAAGGCCGATGTGTTAGAAATCCCATAAGACAAGTGACGGTTTTCAGAATTACAGCGAAAATTCTCTTTTCCATTCGTTTAACTAGTGAGAATTACAGCGATAATTCTCCCATGTTATTGTATACATGGTTGTCATGCTAATTTTTGATACAAACAAACAGTTCCTGATAGCAACCATTTATTTGTATTGATTGTTAAGATGTTCAAATCGTTTAATACATATTTATTTTCATATTTTTTGCATTTTCATACGTCAAATAATCCTCTAAATACCACTTGAGCTTTAAAATGAACCAGATAATTTTTCACTCATGCGTGTTTTCTCTGCAAATTTCACTCGTCCTACGGACTCGTGAAATTATAGAAAACACGCAATCGTGAAAAATTATCGGTAATTTTGAAGCTCTCGTGGTATTATCCCCGAAAATAAACTTTTTTTTTCTTTACAGTTGCAACAAGTAGCAAATCGTCACTGATGGTCGCTGAAGAAAGAGATAGTGGGGAAACAGGAGTGCCTAGCACAAGTAATGGAAATAGTACATTATCACCTGAAGAAGTTATCAGAAGAAGAAGGTGAGTCTGTTTATCATAAAATGAGCGCAACTAACCTTCTGTTTTGTAAATATAGGTTGCAAAGGTTTCTTCAGCAAGAACAAGAGCAGCACTAGAATTAAGTATAATAAGCGCCAAGAAATAGTAATTCCCTGACTAATGCAGAAAGTAATACTTTCCCACGAATAAAAGAGTCGGGGTTTTGCATGAGTTAGGAATATCATTTTTTTCACAAGGGCGTTTGAAAATTTTAATGTAAAAAAAAATCGACTGGACACATTTTTGTTTTAAGCTGTTAAAATAAAATTTACATGAAAAAATAGGTTTTTACTATTTATACTTAGATTTTTTGTGATATTCCTTTAGAGAAAGGTAATGGGGCAACCAATTTTTTCTTTAACATTATTGCTTTTATTATATTGTTATTAATTGTTTCTGTTTAGAACAGGATTCCTCATCAAGAAAGTTTGGTTTTCGATATTTTTAGCTTATATTTTGTAAATAACTAGAATTATTTATACATTCGAGAAAAATGTGCTAAAAATGTTGAAAACAACGAGTTTGTACTATTAACTGTTGTTGGCAAAATCCTATCCTTTCGGTTATCAGTTACATTCAACTGATATCTTAAACTGAAAGTTTATTGAGGATTTATTTTCAAATTACGTTTATTCAGTTTTATTTATTAAAAATAGTAATTAATATATTTCTTAAATGTACAATTTTGCTGTTTTTATTTGCCAAAAAGTAACTAGGACCAACATTTATAAAACGATTTGCTGGTTACTTCTTCATTCAAAGTTTCCAATTTATTTGTTAGTGCAGCTAGAACGGTTGGCAAGTCTCTTTGATGTTCTATTAAACTCTAAGAATAAAAATTGAACACTTTACAAATATCTGGGTTCTCCAACTCACTTTTGTTATAGTCAATGTTAAATTGGACATTTCTAATTGAACTTGTAAATCATTACTCTTGAATTCCGGAAATATATTTGGAGCTACCACAACTGCCATATTTTGTGAAGTCATTTTGTTTGATCCAGATTGTTTTGTTACTTCATTGAAAAACTAAAAAATAAAATAATTTTAGAATAAAATTTATTTGCTCATTTGTAGTGATTGCCTCCATGAGATAGACCATCAAATGTAAATTTCTCAAAGGTAAAAGCAAAACGCATAACTGTAAAGCTTCGTCAATTTTTGTGGGAGCCACTTTGCCTGCTTCATAAAACCATTGACTGATGTCTGTTGGTATCAGATTGCCCGAAATATTTCTTAAGAATTTTTTGATAACTGAGGCTGCTTCTATTGCGTCAACGTCGTCTGGCATATTATCACCTTTATCTAAGGTTTCCTATAAAATCAAGAAAATTTACAAACCATTTATTAATGATTATTTATGCTACTTATACCACTATCGCTTTCTCTTTGGTTTTTCTGCCTTCTACTCTAAAAAGCCCTTCTGTTTTCATATTTGTTTTAACTACATCAATCAAAATACGGAAAACTTTTGGCACTTGAATTGTACTTGATCCAGCCTGCACATTAACCATTTCTAAATTTTCCAATGGTTCACCGAAACATTTTTTCTTGGGACTTGCTTTCTAGAATTTTATATTTTTCAAAATTACTTTGTTTCAGCCAAGTTGTGATTCTGGTTGTTTTACTTTACTTTTCAATTTTTTCAGTTTCAGATCAATTCCAAACTTTTCTTTCAGTTCTCTGGATGCCAGAGTTCTGATGCCTTCATGTCTAGTTTGTAAAATATTCATTTGTATAAGTATTTTTGCATGAAAATGCGAATATAAATGTAAAAATTAGTGCAAAATGACACTGTAAATTTTGAGTGACATTGAACTGTGCACTGAACATTGCATTGAAGGCATTGAAGATTTTGAAAATGAAGGTACCCGTACCCAGTATATAAAGGTAAATAATTAAGATCGGTTTCAACCAATGCCGTTTCAACCTAACAAAATCCAAACTAGAAAAAACCTTCCTCTAATTTCACAAATGGATAAGAAAAAAGCAATCTATTTGCTGCAGATGAAATACAAGTCATCAGTGAGATGATCAATGAACCCACGAACCTTTTACGATCTCCGCTATTGTCGCCAACTAGCCGCCCTGAAGGTAACAGGAGAGGAATGGTAACAGGGAATACCAGAATAGTTTTAAATAAATTTGATATTGATTTTAGGTACATCAAAGTAATTACCAAATTGCGATAATTCTCTGCCAGTACATCCCCACGGGTCTACTAGTTTTCCGCTCAATGCGTGACTAAATTGCTCTACTTCACACCAGAAGGGATCAGGGGCAGACGGTCATGCAAGTATTTACCAGTACCACCCACTGATACATCCAAGTAGCGAGACATGTCTCGTTTACCTATAGCACGTGGCCTGACGCAAATAATGATATGGTAAAAGAATGGACGAATTGTTTAACTTTTAATGTGTCAAAGACAAATGTGTTTTAATGTGGTTTGGATGGAATTACTTTGGAAGCAGATACTGTTGCCAGTCAAACATCGAGTAAGTTTTTAGGAGTGTATATATGCGATAGATTGAAATTTGATTCCCATTTAACATATGTGAGCAAAAAGGTGTCATCTAGATGTTATGCAGTCAGAGAAATTTCTAGTAAGCTGGGCCTTAGAACAACAAGAAGTGCATACTTTGCACTCATCGAATTCTATTTGCGCAATGGAATATGTTTCTGGGGTTTTTGTTCATTGTCTCTTTTTAATATGTTGTTTGTGTTACAAAAGAGGGCGGGATTGCAAGACTCATGTAGGCCATTATTTTTGCGTCATAAATTGCTTACATTTCCTAGTATTTTTTTACTAGAGACTCCATGTCTCGTTCATAAAAAGTTTAAGGAAAGCATACACGAATTTTCATCTGTATATAAAGTCTGTTTTTTTTTAAAGATAATTCCACAAGTCAAAAATTTAGTAACTAGGTTGGCAACACAAGCCTTTTCTACATAAAAAATTTGAAAGTATTGACAATTTTACATTGTATTGCCAACATAATGTCATTTTGACTTTTATCTTAAAAAAAAAAATGATTTTACCACTCAACAAACACATAATGTTAACCTTCCCATCCCTTCCTCCACACAAACAAAAAACTCGATAATCTATCAAAGTGAAAAGATCTTTAATCATCTGCCACTGCATCTGAGACAGATAGTACCGGCTAAAAAATTTAGGATATATCAAAAGCCTACTACAGCATAGAGGAATTCTTTCAAGATGCTTTCTTGTGACTATTGAACATAGTTTAAAGTTATATAGTTTTATTTATTGACTTCTGTGTTTGCTGATGTTGGTAACTACTGAATTTTACATTCGTGCAATTTTACTGTTTTATGTTTTATAACGACAGAAATTTTTCCGTCGGGATCAAATTATAAAATGATAAGTAATTTGATCTGCCGATTGTAATAGCTAATAGCTATTAAACTAAAAAAAAAAAAAAAAAATGTTTTAAAAGGACCGACATATTTTGCGCCAGTGACACGGCCCCTTGGCCCCTTAGGGCCAGCCGCCACTGATGGATAATATGTCTGGCAAGTGAAAAATTGAAGATTTTCAGCCAGACTCACTTTCACTATCTGAGATAAGCCAAATTGCTATTTTCATATACTTTATGTTCTATTGTAGTAAATGTGAAATATTTATGTCTGGGAAAATAAGCTGTTGTGGTTTCCAACATTTATTTATTTTTCAAGAGTAGAATCTGTGGTAGAATGCTGCCAATGCCGTGCTAATTCTTGTTCGTAAATCCAGGTTCAAGGAAACACGATGGTTTGATTATGAAAAGTGTTTTTATTTTAATTTGAACGAAAAACGAGTATTTACAACTATTTACAGAAAACAGGTAACAAATTCTGAAGAACATTGCATATTTAAATAAGTATATGGAACGTTCACTTTAACGCAAATAATTGGTTAATGAACAGCAATTAAACAATAGAAAACTGAAGAGAAAGAAAAGGTTGATTTCAGGCGCACGATCGGGCCATTTGGAGAAAAGAAAAAAGCGGTACAAAACAACCCTTGCAATTCGTTACGATCTCTGACTAGAAGTGAGAACTCAAGGCAAACAAAAACTTCGACTTCGTAGGTACTCTCCACCTCCAGTCTTGACCTACTTTTGCGATGCGTTTGGGCGTACGCACGTTCCCTTGAAAATCGGGTAGAAACGTAGAAACAGAAGATAGAAGATTGTAGTAGGAATAAAAATATAAAGAAATTTAACTTTAAATACAGCGGCGGCGGCAGCGGGTTGAAATGAAATTTCAACATACTCCCCCCCTTGAAGCCTCAGCTTCAAGAAATGGAGAAAAGAAACGATTCGAAGGACCATCACTCATTGTTCAATGGCAGTGGACACAGCTTTGCGATTGAACGAGTGAATTCGGAGTGTTTTGTTCTTAATTTTACAACACGAACATTATTATCTGCACTCGTAATGATTTCAGTTACCCGGGCTCTTGGCCATTTTAAAGGAGGTACATTTTCTTCCTTTATGAGGACAAGGTCATTAACTTTAATGTTTGGTTTTTGGACTAGCCACTTTGGTTTATTCTGAAGTTGGTTTAAGTACTCAGTTGACCATCTTTTCCAGAAGGCTTGTTGAACCTTTGTCATGTTTTTCCACATAGAAAGTCTATTTGTAGTGGTGTTTTCTAAGGATCTTTCTGGAAAAGATGTTAAACTGGAGCCAATGAGAAAATGGCCTGGAGTGAGGACATCGAGGTCCAAAGGGTCGTTTGATAGGCGCAAAGTGACCTGGAATTGAGAATTGCCTCTATTTGAGCCAATACAGTACTTAAAACTTTGAAAGTAAAATGAGAGTCGCCAATTACTCTTGTGATGTGATATTTGGTACTTTTGATGGAGCTTTCCCACAAACCGCCCCAATGAGGAGAGCGAGGAGGGATGAAAACCCATTGCGTTTCTCTAAGTGATAGAAAATCCTTTATTTGTTTATTATGTGCATCATTTTTAAAGAAGTCGTAAAGTTCTTTAATTTCATTTCTTGAGCCTTTGAAGTTTGTGGCGTTATCGGTGAAAATTACGGACGGATTACCTCTACGGGATATAAAGCGCTTGAGTGTGCAAATAAAAGCATTAGTGGAAAGATCTAATACTAGTTCGATATGTGTGGCCTTTGTGACCATACATACGAACACGGCAAAGTAGCATTTGAGAAGCTTGGCTTGCCGCAACGAGGATGATTTGACAAGCATTGGTCCGCCAAAATCTACGCCGACCTTGGCAAATGGTTTTGAGAAGTTTACTCGAAACTCTGGCAAATCTGCCTTTATTTGTTGAGCTACTTGGGCCCGTAATCGGAAACAAACTATGCACTTTTCTGTTAGTTTTTTAATGGCTCGAAGGCCATTGAGAGGCCAATAACGAAGTCGAGTATGCGATAAAACAGTTTGGGGGCCTGCATGATACAGGTCCAAATGTTGCTTAGTAAGAATTAGATCAACTACGTGATCTTTAGCGGGCACCAAATGGGAAATTTCTGGTCAAATGATATATCTGCTCTGGACAGACGGCCACCGACTCTTAAAATTCCTTCGGGGTCCAAAAAGGGACTTAAAGATAAGATTGCCTTGTTAGGCACGACCTTGTGGTGTTTTAGACAGGATATTTCCTTGGAAAAATGCTTTTCTTGTATGGTTTTAATGATAAAGTTACGAGAAACTTGCAATTCTTCGATTGATAAAGAATTTTCCAAAACCTTATTGGAGCTATGTTTTAAATTTTTCACAAATCTGAAAATAAAAGCGAAAGTTCTATGCAGGCGAGTGAAACTAGAAAATTTTAGAAATTTTGAGTAACAATATTCATTAGTTATGGAAAAATGCGAAGAAATCGTTTTTATACTTCGCTCCTCTTTTAATGCTTCATTGTTTTGTGAAATCTTGAATGTGAATTTACTGAGGTCAAGTTCAAAGTTTTGCAAAAAATTAGGTCCCTTCCACCACAACTCGCAAAATTGAATTTTATCGGGAGAAACTCCACGGGACAAAGGATCGGCTGCGTTTTCTTCCGAAGAAACATGTCGCCAAATGAATGATTCGGTTAACCTTTGTATTTCAGCGGTACGATTGCTCACAAAAACAACCCATCTGGAAGAGTGTGCTCCGTCCATAAATTTATGGATTCAAATTTAATGGCATTATTGAAAATGGCTATAACCTTCTCAACGAGACGTGCTAAAAGTAATGCACCACATAATTCGAGTCTGGGTACGCTAATAGTCTTTACAGGGCTAACTCTGGACTTGGAACAAATCAAACGACTAGAAACTGTATGATCTGCGTATGTTGCGCGTAAATACACGCAAGCAGAATATGCAAGTAGGCTTGCGTCCGCAAAGCCATGAAGCTCGATGGTTAGAATCTTTTTCTTCAAAAGTAAGCATCGTGGAACTTGGACATTTTTCAGGCAAGGAATTCTTGTGAATAAATCCAACCATTCATCCAATAAGTCGGGCGGAAGCTTGTCGTTGCAGTCCAGCTTCCTGTTCCAAATTTTTTGCATAAAAATTTTCGCGATAACAATGACTGGACCAAGGTAACCACAGGGATCAAACATCTTCGCAATGTTGGACAGCACCTCACGCTTTGTAAAGCATTTCTGGGTTTCTAACGCGGGTAAAGAAATACAAAATTGATCCTCGGATGAGTTCCACTTTAAACCGAGAACCTTGTTTGAAACCTGCTCCATTTTTATGTCAAGCGTTT